TGGGTTCTCAGTTCTGTTCCACTGGTCTATATGCCTGTTCTTGTGCCAGTACCAGGCTGTTTTGATTACAGTCGCTTTGTAGTATAACCTGATATCTGGTATTGTGATCCCACCTACTTACTCCTTCTTCTTCAAAATTGCTGTGGCTATTCGGGGACTTTTTTGGTTCCATATGAACTTTTAAAGTATTTGTTCTAGTTCTGTGAAATATGTCATTGGTATTTTGATGGGGATTGCATTGAATCTATAGATTGCTTTGGGTAATATGGACATTTTAATGATGTTAATTCTTCCAATCCATGAATAAGGTATGTGCTTCCACTTTTTTATATCTTGCTCTATTTCTTTTTTCAATGTCCTGTAGTTTTCTGCAAATAGGTCCTTTCCTTCTTTGGTTAAGTTTATTCCAAGGTATCTTAATTTTGTTTGCCATGATGGTAAATGGGATTGTAGTTTTAGTTTCTCTTTCTGTGAGTTCATCATTGGTGTATATGAATGCCGTCGATTTCTTGACGTTAATTTTTTATCCTGCTACTTTACCAAATGCATTTATTAAGTTTAGTAGATTTTTGATGCAGTCTATGTATAATATCATGTCATCTGCAAATAATGACAGTTTTACTTGCTCCTTTCCAATTTGGATCCCTTTTATTTTTTCTTCATGTTTGATTGCTGTGGCTAAGACTTCCAGTACTATGTTAAATAAGAGTGGCAAAAGTGGGCATCCCTGTCTTGTTCCTGTTTTTAAGGGAAATGTTTTTAATTTTTGCCCATTGAGTATGATGTTGGCTGCAGGTCTTTCATATATGGCCTTTATTATGTCTAGATATGATCCCTCTATTCCCACACTGCTGAGCGTTTTTATCAGAAATGGATGCTGGATTTTGTCGAATGCTTTTTCAGCATCTATTGATATGATCATGTGGTTTTTATTCTTCATTTTGTTTATGTGGTATATCACATTTATTGATTTGCGAATATTGTACCAGCCTTGCATCCCTGGGATGAATCCCACTTGGTCATGGTGAATAATTCTTTTGATGTATTGCTGGATCCGATTTGCTAGTATTTTGTTCAGGATCAGGGATATTGGCCTGCAGTTTTCTTTCTTTGTAGTGTCTGTTTCTGGTTTTGGAATTAGAATTATGCTGGCCTCACAGAACGAGTTTGCAAGTCTTCCTTCTTCTTGAATTTTCTGAAATAGTTTGAGGAGAAGGGGTGTTAGTTCTTTTTTGAATGTTCAATAAAACTCCCCCGTGAAGCCATCTGGGCCTGGGCTTTTGTTTGCTGAGAGAGTCTTGATTACCTCTTCAATTTCCTTAGTTGTTATTGGTCTGTTCAAGTTTTCTATCTCTTCCTGGTCCAGTTTTGGGAGACTGTGTGTTTCTAAAAATTTTTCCATTTCGCTTAGATTGTCTAATTTGTTGCCATATAATTGTTCATAGTAGCTGCTAACAATCTTTTTGTATTTCTGTGGTGTCAGTTGTTAATTCTCCTCTTTCATTTCTGATTTTGTGTATTTGGGTTCTCTCTCTTTGTTTCTTGTTGAGTCTAGCTAAGGGTCCATCAATCTTGTTTATCTTTTCGAAAAACCAGTTCTTTGTTTCATTGATCATTTGAATTGTTTTTTTGGTCTCTATGCTATTTAATTCTGCTCTGATCTTTACTATTTCCTTCCTTGTACTTGCTCTGGGGTTTTCTTTGTGTTTGCTTTCTAATTCTTTAAGTTGTGAGGTTAGACAGTCAATTAGAAATTTTTCTTGTTTCTTGAGGTAGGCCTGTAGTGCTATGAACTTCCCTCTCAGAACTGCTTTTGCTGCATCCCATAGATTTTGTGTTGTTATGTGTTCATTTTCCTTGGTTTCCAGGAAGTTTTTAATTTCTTCCTTGATTTCCTCGGTAACCCATTCATTGTTCAGTAACATGCTATTTAGTCTCCATGTGCTCAAATGTGTTTGCATGTTCCTGTTGCAATTGATTTCTAGTTTCATGCCATTGTGATGTGAGAAGAAGATTGATATGATTTCAATCTTCTTGAACTTGTAGAGGTTTAGTTTGTGTCCTATCATGTGGTCTGTATTTGAGAATGTCCCATGTGCACTTGAGAAGAATATGAATTCTGTAGTTTTGGGGTGTAATTCTCTGTAGATATCTACTAAATCTATTTGGTCTAGTGCTTCATTTAGAGCCTCTGTTTCCTTGCTAATTTTTTGTCTAGAGGATCTATCCAGTGGTGTCAGTGGAGTGTTGAAGTCCCCTGCTATGATTGTATTGCTGTCGATTTCTCCTTGGAAGTCCTCCAGAAGATTTTTAATATATTTGGGTGCTCCTATATTGGGTGCATATATGTTTATCAAGGTTTATCTGTTGGATAAATCCTTTCAATATTATGTAGTGGCCTTCTTTGTCTCTAGTTATGCCCTTCATTTTGAAATATGTTTTATCAGATATGAATATTGCTACCCCAGCTTTTTTCTACTTTCCATTTGCTTGGAAAATTTTTTTCCATCCCTTCACTTTCAACCTATGTGAGTCTTTTGTTGTGAGGTGGGTCTCTTGTAAATAACATATAGATGTGTCATGCTTCTTTATCCAGTCAGCTACTCTGTGTCTTTTTATCGGAGCATTCAGTTCTTTTACATTTAAGGTGATTAGTGATTATTGATATGTACTTATTTATTGCCATTTTTGTTTAATGTGGTTATATTTTTCTTCCTGTTTCTTCTACTAATTACAGTAGTCCTTTTAACATTTCTTGCAGTGCTGGTTTGCTGCTAATATTCCCTTAGCCTTTTTGTGTCTGTGAAGCTCTTTATTTGACCCTCTATTTTGAATGATAGGCTTGCTGAGTAGAGTAGTAGTCTTGGATTCAGATCCTTGTTTTTCATGACCTTGATTACCTCATGCCATTACCTTCTGGCCTGTAGTGTTCCTTGTGAGAAGTCAGCTGAGAGCCTTATGGGGTTTCCTTTGTAGGTAACCTGTTGCTTATCTCTTACTGCTTTTAGGATTTTCTCTTTGTCTTTAATTTTTGGCATTTTAATTCCTATGTGTCTTGGTGTGGGCCTGTTTGGGTTCTTCTTACTTGGGGCTCTCTGTGCTTCTTGAACTTGAATGCCTTCTTCCTTCACCAAATTAGGAAAGTTTTCTGTCACTATTTCTTTGAATATATTCCCTAACCCTTGCTCATTTATTTCCTCTTCGGGGTCTCCTATGATGCGAATATTATTATGTTTCCAGTTGTTCCACAGTTCTCTTAAGCTGTCTTCCTGTTTTTTTAATCTTTTTTTTTGGTTTTCTGATTGGTTGATTTTTTTCTACCCTGTCTTCTAATTCACTGATCCAGTCCTCAGCTTCCTCTACTCTGCTGTTTAGACCTTCTAATGTGTTCTTTATTTCTGATATGTCATTTTTGATCTCTTCTTGGTGGTTTTTAATTTTCAATTGGTTTATTTTGAACATGTTGAGGTCCTTACTCATGTTGTTGAGCTTCCTCAAGATCATGGCTCTGAATTCCAGCTCTGTTAACTTGCCTAACTGTTCCACATTGATCTCATCTTCGGTGGAGGTCTCTCGTTTTTTCATTTGGCGTTTGTTTTTGTGTTTCACCATTTTGGCTATCACAGTGGGCTTTGGAGCCTGTCAAGTTTTCCCTGTGGGTGTTGGTGTTCTGTTTGTGGCTCCCTCTCCTGGGTTTAGATGAGTGAGGGAGGACCCACGTTAAACACCACTGGCAAGTTTTACTTTCCTGGTTAGAGTTGCTAGCCCAGGAATGGTACTGTTATCCTATAGCTTTTTGCCTGGAGGCTAGCAGTCGAGGTTACTTGAAGAATTTTGGGTTGTCAGTTGATTGAATACCTTTCTCAGGTGCTCAGCATAAGGGGATTTCCCGAGGGTGGGGCAGATGCTGGTTGTTAATGAGCCTCAATTAGCATTTCAATGGCCCACCGGATGGGGTTGGATCTCCGAGGGATGGGCTGCTGCCTCTCCCAAGAGCCCTGGAAAGGAGCAAGATGGCCACTGTCCTGCGTGGCAGCAACTCAGCAAAAGCTCTGAGTGCCCTCCAAATCCTTAGTGTCCCCACACAATTCTAGTCCAGTCTGCCCTCCTCCTGCCGGAGCCCAAGGTGAGTGGCTGTGGCTTTTTTAGCCTCTGTCCCGGCTCTGCGCTGTGGAGCCACTTGGGAGTTTAACCCGAGGGCGCTGCTCACAGCTAAGGCAGTTCCAGAGCTGCTAACCGTGGGCTCCCAGCCCCCACCTCGCGCCTTCACAAGCCTACCAGGATCGAGTCAGTGTCCCTGGTTATATGGTCCTCACAAGCTGCTTTTCTGTTGCTTTTTCCCGTCGATCTGTCTGTGTTATAGTTGTAATTCCAGTTTGGTTCTGGGAGACGGTCTGTGTAGCTTCCGTTCACTCCGCTGCCATTTTGGAATCCCGGTCTACTACATTTGTAATTGGGTTGTTTTGTGCTCTGTGATTACTTAATTTTTATATTGATTTAAAAAAAAATTTTTCTTTATTGATATTACAGAGAGAGGAGAAAGGAAGGGGAGAGATTAATAGAAATATCGATGAGAGAGAACATGGATTAGCCGCCTCCTACATGCCCCTCAATGGGGATCGGGCCCACAACCTGGGCATGTGCCCTGACTGGGAATAGAACTGGTGACCTCTTGGTTGATAGTTCAGTGCTCAACTACCGAGCCACACCAGTGGGGCATTATATTGATTTTTTTAAGTCAAGTTTTTTCCACTTTAGAAATGCTTGAGACATGTTTATATTCATGGTTGGTAGTTATGAAATAAGAATTTGTGTTGAATAGCTTGATTAGTAGAAAGACTGGGGTACTGAACTGAGCTCAAGTAAATAATTAACTCAAACTCGTAAAACAGATATTCAAAAGAATATATGGTCCCCTCTAAAATCAAAATCAACAAAATGTGCATGTATGTTAATAAATCTGTTAAGTAACTCTAAATCCCTTTACTGTCTTTCTACAGGAAGAAGCAATTTCGGTATCTGCAAAAAACCAAGGGGAAAAAGCCTGGTATTATCAATGAAGAAAATAATGATAGCAAAAAACTTGCAGGAGAAAACACAAATCGTGCTATGCTAACTTATACCACAAGAGACTTTTATAATGAAAAGCTAGAGGTAAAACTACCACTGATGCTTAAAATCTAGTGCCTGGATATATCCCTCACAGCTTAGGGCGTGACTGTTGTACTTTCCCACCCCCTCACCCCAAACAGTTAAGATCACCTCTTTGTGCTGTTGCTGCTCTGGAATGGTAGCCAGCCTAAACGACACAAAGGCGTGGACAGCAGGCACCAAGGCGTTAGGAAGAAGTAGAGCCCATAGTTCTGATATCTTCATTTCTGCAGAAAAATATCTGCACAAGATGTCTGTATCAAAACTAGACCCAAGCAGGACCAAGGGTCCTAATGTCTCTGGATTAAGAAAAGGGCTGCAGGGCTGGCTGTGTACACTTACCTAGCCCACGCCAGACAGACAGAGTACACATTTCTGTTCCCTTTGCTTGAGTCCTTGATGTTTTAATTTACTTCTTTCAATCTTCTACACCATTAACTTCTGTACTCTTAATTATATAATATAATTTTTACTTGTTCTGTTTCCACTGTAACTACATAGGCCAAGTGTTCAGAGGTTTTGGGGGGAATACAATGTTAGGGTGCTGTGTGAACTACAAAGAGAAAAGCATGCACTTTCTGCCTTGATGGAGTCCATAGAAAAGCTGAAGAAAGTCATCTCATTAACAATAGAATGTTAGATTCTATCAGAGATTTTGAGGGAACTAAAGGGTGAAAGAATAAGACAAAAAGATCAGATAGCATTGATTGAGCACCTATGACTCATGTGCAAGACATGCTATCTAAACACAGATATATCATCTATATATAGATATATAAAATTTGAAGTGAAATAGGCAAGTAGTTTTCAAAAAAAATTTTAAAACAGCTGTGGAACTCTTTATTCAAACCATATTGTAGCTGAAAACCCAGCATGTCAAAGCAAAACAGCAGAGCTGCTGTTGTATAGGAAAAGTGGGGTGTTCAGAGCTTCATTTGATTGGATCTTCTTTCCCATTCCCCTCATTTCAACCCAATCTTGAAGCATCTCTTTGGAACCCATAGAGCTATGTGGATCATGGCTTGAAAATCACTTCAGAACTCAATGTATGTAACAGTATCTTTTATAGCACCCTAAAATAGGTTCAGATTCTGCTTTCAGTTCTTCTGGTCACTGCTTCATGGTGTAGCTGTCTATCACTGAACAACTGCAACTATGGAGAAATTGTTACCCATATTAAGCTAACTGATTTGTGTCAAAAAAGAGAACAAGTTTCTTTCTTAGGAAAACTCATCAAATACTTAAAGTCAGCTAGTCCTCTGTCTCATCTTAATTCTCTCTACAGTTATACTTTCACTCATTCAAAAATCATATATTGAACATCTATCACATGTAAAACTTGGGCTGTAAGAAGATTCTGTTCTTATCCTCATGGATCTTACATTCTAATAGAGAAGATGTACATTCACAGGGATCATTACGAATCTGATGCCAAGAGAGTGGAGGGAGGGATCGCTAACCCAGGTCAAGGAAGGCTTTCTAATGAAGTAATTTCCTGATACTAGTCTTAAAGGATGAAATAACTATATACCAAAGGGGGAAGGGAAACTCTGGCAAATAGCACAGTGTGAATAAAGACAGAGAAGTATAAAAAAGATAAGGAGAAGGCCAGGAACTGTAGGCAATTTAGTGTTGTTGAAGCACAGAGATTGAGGTCGACGTTGTTAGAAGATTGACTGGAAGGTGGGAAGAGGGCTGTGTGAAAGAGCCTGGATGTAAGCCTTTGGCCGTTAGCGGCTTCCTGATTTTGTCAAAAGAGGAAAATGAAAGCCAAGCTGTCAGGATTATGAGTCCTTCTCTTCCTGAAAGTAGTTGGTTCTATGAGTCAAAAATTAATACAATTTCTATAAAAGACATTTAGAAAAATGTCAAAGAGATGCATTCAAAACAAGGACCATTTCATAGAGAAATCTACCAACTCTTTAAGAAGCAGACAATTCCAATGATTTTTTAATTGTTCAGGAGTACTGAAAAAGAAAACTTTTATATTTTTTCAAGGTTTACAGCATAACATTGATTTCAGATTTTATGTCAGGATAGCACAGAACAAGACCAGCCAGACCAGATACCTAAGAATATTAATGATGCAAAAATCCTTCTAAAATGTTATCAGTCAGAATATAGCAGAACAGCCCTGGCCGGTTTGGCTCAGCGGTTGGAGCGTCGGCCTGCGGTCCAGAGAGACCCGGGTTCGGTTCCCGCTAAGGGCACGTACCTCGGTTGCAGTTTGTCCCCGGCCCTGGTTGGTTGTGCGGGTGGCAGCCCCTCGATGCGTCCCTTCACATCTATGTTTCTCTCTCTCTCTCTTCCTCTCTCTCCCTCCCGCTCTATCTGAACAAAAAATGGAAAAATGTCCTCGAGTGAGGATAAAAAAAAAAAAAGAATATAGCAGAACATTAAGTGAATAACAAACATTATAGCCAAGTGCAGTTTATTCTAGTAAATTAATAGATCTAAGGTGAAAATTTGTGATGATTTCTATAGATGTTGAAAAGGCATTTCACATAATCGAACACCCATTCTAAATTTCCTTGAACTAAATAAATAGGATAAGTAGAAATTGGATGGTAAACATGCATGATGAGGAAACTCTAGGAACATTAGCATTAGTGGAGGCAGAAGTCCACTAAGATGGCCTCCGTGACGCCCACCCACTGGTGTTCACACCCTGGCTGATATCCCCTCTAAGTGCAGGGAAACCTCTGACTTGCTTCTAACCAGTGGGATATGGCAAGGGAAGGGAAGTTTGCAGATATAAAAATTAAAAAAGTAAATTAAAAAAAACACCTTAATTAGTTGACTTTGAGTTAATAAAAGTGGAAATTATCCTGGGTGAGCCTGACCTCTCATCAGGCAATCCTTTGAAAGGGGATTCAAGATTTCTCTGAGAGAGTCTCCTACAGTCCTTAAAGTAACACGCCACTGCATTTTGAGAAGGTCACATGGGAAAGAGCTGCGAGAAGCTTCTAGAGAGCAGCTCCCTGCTGAGAACCAGCATGAAAATGGGACTTCAGTCTGACAAATACAGGGAAGCGAATTCTGCCAGCAACCACTTGAGTTTATTTTCTTTTATTTTTTTAAATATTTTTCTTTATTGATTTTAGAGAGAGAAGAAGAGAGAGGGAAAGAGAGATAGAAACATTGATGTGAGAGAACATGGATTGGCCGCCTCCTGCATGCCCTGCACTGGGGATTGGGTTCATAACCTGGGCATGTGCCCTGACCAGGGATCGAACCGGTGACCTCTTGGTGCATGACTCGACACTCAACTACTGAGCCACAACAGCCAGGTGCAACCACTTGAGTTTAGAAGAGAACTCCAAGCTTCAGAAAAGAACACAGCCTGGCTAACACCTGTGGTCAAGCTCAGCTATGCTAGAACTGATGCATGGAAGCTTGTGAGATAATACATGTATGTTGTTTTAAGTCACCAAGTTTGAGTTCATCTGTGCACAGCAATAGAACACTAATGCATTACTGAAGTCAGCGTCAAGACAAATATGTCCAATGTCACCATTATTATTTATCAAAATTAATAATACAACTAGACCAGAGAAAGAAATCATTAGTAACTTGATAAGAAGGGAGTGAGCTTACTATTTGCAAATAATATTATAGAATACCTGGGAATCCCAAGAGAATTAATTGAGAAACTATAAATAGCTATAATAAAATTCAGTAATGGAGCAGAAATGAACAGCTCATATATATATATATATATGTATATATACATATATACATATATATATATATATATATCTCAACAGCAAAGTAAATGTAATGGAGGAAAGATCCAACTCACAGTAACAACATAAGTGATAAAATATCTAGGAGGAAACTAATTAATAAATAAGCAAGAGCTATAAGAAGTACACTTTAGCCCTGGCCGGTTTGGCTTAGCGGTTGGAACGTCGGCCTGCGGTACAGAGAGACCCGGGTTCGGTTCCCGTTAAGGGCATGTACCTCGGTTGCAGTTTGTCCCCGGCCCTGGTTGGTCGTGCGGGTGGCAGCCACTTGATGTGTCCCTTCACGTCGATGTTTCTCTCTCTCTCTCTCCCTCTCTCTCCCTCCCGCTCTATCTGATCAAAAAATGGAAAAACATCCTCGGGTGAGGATTAAAAAAAAAAAAGAAGTACACTTTAAAACATTAATGAAGCACACAAACGATTTATACCATGTTTTGGATAAGAAGGACCTAAAGTAAAATGTTAGTTTTCCTTAATTAATTTAAAATTTTAATATTCCAATAAAAGTACAAAAATTTTTCATTGAGATGTTTTTAAACAAGTTGATCATATAGTACATGTGGGAAAGTAAACAAACAGCCATAAAAACTCTGACAGAGAAGACCAGCACTGCTGGGTGGGAAGGCATGTTGTAAAGTCTACCAGTTCCAACAAGACGGCGCTGAAGAGATGGTCTAATGGAACAGAATGAAAAGTCAAGTATATATCCAAATACAAAAGAGCATTTATTAGATGATAAAGAATAATCTCAAACTAGTCAAGCGGACTATCCAATAAATGACTTAAGAATAATTAGGAAACTGAGAAGAAAAGCAGGATTTTGTCATTATGTTTTACACCAGCATAAATTCCTAATGGGTCAAAGATCTTAAAGTCTATAATAAAGATATAAAAATTCTACAAGAAACCATGGAAAATTAATGTGTAGCATTAGGATGAGAATGACCTTCAGGAGAATACAATAAGCAAAGACAAATGACAAACAAAAAGTAGTTTGTAGTAATCTACCTAAATTATAAAGAGCTTTTAGAAAAGGAACCAATAATTTAATCCAGGTTGTAGTATTTACTCAAAAACTAATTTTAAATAATATACCACTTACCACAAAAACAAACCTTATAGGCATGAATAATAAATTTATATACACCCTTTATGGAGGTTTCAATAAACAATTTTATTGAAAGACATTGAAAATTTATATACACCCTTTATGGAGGTTTCAATAAACAATTTTATTGAAAGACAATTTTATTGAAG